TCATTATTGTTATATTTAGTTGAGTTGTAAATCTTGTTAATTATTCGCTTTATTATTGGTCCAGAACATTTTTTTGGGAAGTTATTATTAAGTAATATTTTCCTGATTTTTTAAAACTTTCTTGTCTGTAATTTGGGTGTGATAATTTTATAGCTCTATCTGTAAGTGCAGTTATTACGCTTTTTTATATTTTTGGGGTGCGTACGAATTATAGTTTAAATATCTTCCTGACCAAACTTCTTTTGTATACCAATTTGTTTTTATTTCACCTGAATTATCATAATTTACTGTTATGTCTAAAAAATGTATTGATTGATTTTTATCCTTTTCTATTGTAAATTTTATAGTGTCGTGAAAATTGTTGAATTTATCTAGGGTATATTGAACTTTATCTTTGGGTAAACACATTAAGCAATCATCCAGATAGCGTTTAAAGAAAGGTAGTTTATAATTTAGGATTGTTATTATGTTTTTTCCAAGATTTTCATAACAAGGTTTGCAATTGTTGTTGATTTTGCTCTCCCAAAGGGAACAATTTTTTTCTTCAAAAACTGATGAATGTTTTAGCACTTTGATAATTATAATTTTTATACAACATGTTTTAATTATGCATTGGTGTTTGTAGTTTGTGTAAATTTTAAATCTGATGAAGGCGCTGTTGTATCGCCGAAACGTAATGAAATAAATGATGTTTCAAAATGTTTACAAGTACACGCAGTCAAGAAAATAAATCAGAATATTGAATTAACCAGAGGTGAAAAAAGCATGGTAGACTGCGCAAAACAGTCAGAATGAGTAGTAGATGAACAGTAATGAAAACGCAATATAAACGAAGTTCAATAACAAACCGTCCATATGTACGAGGATAAATCGATACGATAAGAAAATTTATAGGATAAAATAAAGGGGGTTGATTGAGCAAATTAGGGACTATGTTCACATGAACTGTTTTTCATTAAAAATATTTTCTATGGTCGGCCAAAGTTTGTCACAAAAAACCTGGTCCACCCTGAACAGGGGTTTTCGGTAAAAAAAAATTTGTAAAAATAAACACTGTGTGCATTGATTATTCATTTTTTGCATTGAAAAATGCAAATGTTTCACGTTAAGCATGAAAGAATCGGCGGCACTCTAATTTTTCAAATGTGTCAGACATTTTCCGCACTCAAGTGGTTTCAAGTGAACAGAATTGTCATTGCTGAAGCATAATTGGAGAAATT